CCAGGGGTGTTTCCAGTACATGGCTGGCATCTTGGGCAACTAACCGCCCCCCTGAAATAGCTCTCCTCTCCTGGCCCAGGTCACATGCCAACACAAGTTCAGAGGTGAAAGGTCTTGTTTATCATGGGCTTGTTGCCCCTCAACCTCTAGCAGGTAAGCTCCAGGAGGACAAGCTCCTTTTCCTCACTTCGCTGCTCTTGCCCCAGCACCCCCGTGTTCAGTAACCAGTAAGCATTTGCTGAGCAAATGAAGATTCCCCTCAAGGACCTTGTAAGCCCTCAGCAAACGGTCGTTTGAGTGAATGAACTAAGGATACTCTGACCCAGACAAGGCGTCAGGGACAGAGATACTAACACAACAGAATGATCCGACCAGTAACGTCTCAATTTCTCTCTTCCTCAGAGAATGCTGGGAATGAGTGCTGACCATGGAGGTGATGACCAGTGACTTCAGAGTTTGACGTAAGGGTGACGTGGCCCGGGAGATGCAGGCCTGGCTGCTGCAGCTGCCTCTCACTGGGATGCGAAGCAGGGCAAGGGAAAGCCCGACACATGAAAAAGAAATTGGCAGAACAGGAGGCCATAAAACCTCAGAAGAAATAGAGAGGGCATTGAAAGCAGTAAAATCCCAAAGTGCAAAACTGCTTATCTTTCATTAAAGAGAATTCAAATTAATTTTTAAAAACCACAGTGATAGTAAACATTATAGTAAGCAAAGAACTGAGAGAATATGTAGAAAATCTGAGATAATTCTGGTAGATTTTCTAATTGTGAAATAACATGCATTGTAAAACACACCCCTTCCCGTAGAATTTCGCAGTGTTGTGGGACCACCACCCTTGTCGAATCCTGGAACACTTTATCGCCCCCCAAATAAACCCCCAAGCCCCTCCATCTCCCTGGTCCCTGCCATCCACGGATCTCTTTCTGTTTTTGGATTCGCCTATTCCTGACATTTCTTATGAAAGGAATCGTACAACGCACGCCTCCTGTGTCCGGTCCCTTCACCGAGCCTGATGTTTCCACGGCGCAGACGGAGGCTCCGCTCCTTTGACAGCCGAGTGACACTGCGCGGTGCGGAGACACACCCCGCATCGCGTTTACCCTTCATTTATCCTCAGTAGGTGGGCACTTGGGCTGTTTCCAAATTTCGACTATGATGATGATGTGGCTACAAACCTGTCTGTGTGTACGAGCTTTTGTGTAGATGTGTTTCCAATTCTCTTTGAATTCACATAAAATACAGACAGCAAGAAGCAAAAAAGAAACAAACAAATAGTGTGGGAAAAAAAGGATAATACTAACAAGAAAATAGCAGTTAATACAGGATGGGGCAAAAGGAGGTTTACAGTTGTGAGCATGCAGAAGCTTATTCTTGTATCATTATTATTGTATTATTTCACATATGAATAACTGTAAACCTACTTTAGCCCATGCTACATGTCAGACACCTCCCCTGTGCCGTGTACCTCACTAGAAATTCATGTGTACCACGAGGTTTAATCCTCACAACAATTCCTTTTCGTAGTTATCCTTTTTCTACGAATGGAGAAACTGGTTCAGAACCCAGGATGTCAGGCTGCCCAAGATCCCGCTCAGAGAGAGTGCAGAGCTGCCCCTGGCAGACGTGGCGGCCGGGGGGCGGGGGCAGCAGACCAACCATGGTCTAATTCCCCATCAAAGAGACTCGGGTTAAAATAAAAAACAAACAAACATGAAATACTATTCTGCCTTCAGAAAAGAGAGGCAAATTTGAAAGCAAACATTCCAGTTTGAACAAAGGGGCTTTATTCTGGTAAACGAGGCACCCTTCAGGACTTGTGGGCAGTGACTTGACACTCCTCTGGCGCTGGGGTTGTTAGTGGACAGCTAGTTAGTTATTAACAGAAGAGAAAGGAGCTGAACTGGCCAAGCCTGATGGACTTGGAAGGGACTGCTTCCAGACCCTCCGGGGGACAGCAGCATTGCCCTCCTCAGCGGATTCCTCCCTCCACCGAATAGAGAGGAAGGACTGAGTAGTGAGGAAGGGACGGCCTTTCCAATCTCCCTCGGGACTGGGGGTCTGTGGGTGGGGGAGGAGGGGAGGGCGGGAGATGGTAAGCGGGAAATTCCTTTGCTGAGAGATGCACAGAAGCCAAGATGGTGCACAGAGAGGGCCCAGCAGGAGCCCGCAATGAGCCAGGATAGGGCTTGGATAGTTTGAAAGCAAGCTTACTCCTTCCCAAACCCGGGGAGATATAATCAAAGCTTAACAAAGGCCTGGGGTTTGCTTGTTCCTTTGCTCATTCTCTCCTCTTTACCAGTTGCCTGGTCACAACCCCAGAGCCATCAAGCCTCAGCAGCAGACGAACCTACAGGGAGATGAGACACAGGCAAGGGCAGCAGCCAGGAACAGAGACTAAGCTAGACTACGGAAGCTGCGGATGCTGATGCCAGGATAATGGTGCAGCATCTCTGGGCCCTGGCCCTCCTCCTGGGATGGGTGAGGATAAGTGGGGGCCTGTGGCTCCAGGGACTGGACTTTTTTCTCAGCAAGACAGAGCTGAGCCATCTGGTCTTGGATGAGATATCGGGCACCTGGGGACAGTCCTTTGTTTTCGCTCCAATAAATCTTGCCACAATACCGCCCCTCCTCCTATGCATGTATCCTTGAAATGTGTCTCCTGCGATACCATGAAAGAATCCTGTTTCCACCAGCAACAGGGTGAACTGACGGTGAGCAGAGAAGGGGGCCAACGGGTCACTTGGAGGCTGAGGAAAGGAGGGAAATGGCAGAGAAGAAAGAGGGCCCCTGAATGCTTGAGGGCCTGAATGCAAAGCATGAGAGACAATAAGCAAAAAGCAGAGGTGGGAGCAACGGCTGTAAGGGAGGAGCTTGAGCACTGAGTATACTCCTTCCTCTCTCTGCTGGGTTCCTGTAGTGCTGCGAACAGACTCAAGAAAGGGGTGAGATCCATGCCAACAACCACCGAGAACCCACAGACAAGGTGCTATCCCATTGGTATACAACTTGCCTCCCACCAAGGGCTCCCTATAAGTTGCTATACTTCTTGCTGAAGACCTGCGCTGTTCACTGTTTATGAACCTCTTAAATCCCTAAGAGAGTCAACAGAGACAAATAATGTTGAAGAACATGTGCTGAGCGTCTCCTTGCTGTCTCCCCACAGAGCCTGGCATAGCAAAGGCCCTGCATGCAATGAGCTCCGAGTGAGCAATGACTGACAGCAGAAATTGCACTCCCGTCAGAACCACACAGCTGTGTTTTCAATCCCACCGATTCAGTATTTTCCATCAGAAACAGCTTTTGGGCTTTCAATATTGCAACCAGTTTGCTCTCATGCACATAAAGGCACAAAGTACGTGTTGTCTTTTGTGATGAAAGAGAAAGAAAACTGTCTGTCTAGCAATCCGAGGCACATCAACAGTTACTCAGAAAGCAATCCTTTCCACATTCCTCAGATTCATGGGGAAATGACATCTGGCAGTCCGAGTGACCAGAAAATCGGCTGGCTCTTCCAGTTACAGGAACAAAAAAAAAAAGCCAAAGGATATGGGGCATATCGGAAACTTAAGAGTAAACTGGCTCATCACTCAGGTGAAACCAACCACACCCGCACTGTCCAACGCAGCGCCCCCTGGCCCCATGTAGCTACTTACATTAATTCAAGTTAGAGAGGATTTAAAGTGTGGTTCTTAGACCCGCCACATTGCAAGGGGCCTACAGCCACAGGTGACAGCAGCTACCACACTGGGGGAAAGAGGTACATAATGTCCACCATCACAGGAAAGTCTTTGGGACAGTGCCCAACCAGAGCAACTGTGCAGTCAGATTTTAAAAAAAAGGGGGGGTCTATTCTCTACCCACTGACTAGTACTATAGGTTGGCTTCTCAACACAGATATCCTTAAGTATGTGTTCAGACTTTAGAGTTCACAGATCAGTAAAGTGCTCTAATTTTGGGTTACCAAGTTTGTATTTTGTCAAGTAAGGCTGCCACCAGATTACTAGGCTTCAGGGCCCATCAAGGCAGGCAGGCACTGGGCCTTCTTACCACTCAGGGTCATAACCCAGCCTGGTTCACAGTATGTGCCCAGTAACTATTTGCTGAATACATGCTCATGTATGTACACACATAGCTTCACACTTTTTCATTTTACCTGTGGCACGTGAAAACTGTCACTAGTTGACATTAGTCACCTGAAAGGTGTATGGGCTCTATGCACATGCGCACACACGCACATGCGCACACACATGCACACGCACGGACAGGCTAGGTTAAGTCACAGAATGAATGTGTCATCCAACATTTTCTGAGAACTTAATGTTAATAAACACTTCTAGCAAGATATTCCAAATCCAAATGGGCTTCTCTAAATGGGCTGTTTCATAACCGACCATGAGGGGGAGTAAGGGGGAAGCTAACTGCAGTTTTCGGTGGCACCACATTGCCCTCTAGTGGTAAAACTAGCACCTGTGTACACAGTCAACTTTTATTTTATTTTTTAAAAATATTTTATTTATTTTTTAGAGATGGGAAGGGAAGAAGAAAGAGTGGGAGAGAAAAATCAATGTGTGGTTACCTCTCACATGTCCCCTACTGGGGACCTGGCCTGCAACTCAGGCATATGCCCTGACTGGGAATCGAACCAGTGACCCTTTACTTCACAGGCCCATGCTCAATCCACTGAGCTACACCAGCTAGGGCTCAACTTTTATTTTAAAAAGCAAGTTATTTATGTTTCTGGTAACATTAAAACCTGTACCGACATGCAATTACCCTAAGAATCAGCCCAAATATTTATGTACATATTTAAATATGAAATCTGGCATGTTGTAATTGTGAAAAAGGTAAATGAAGGAGGCTCTGTCACAGAACTCTCTGATAAAGTCATCCACGTGCCTCGGAAACGGTGAGATACAGGAGAGCTCCTCGTTGGACTTAATATTCTGGATCGTTTCTGTTCATCCTTTAGTTTAAAAAAATACACTTTCAAGTTCAGATGCTGTTGCACAGTTTATTTATTTTTTGTCTAAAACCAACAACCTTTGCTGCATTTAACTCCTTTTTCATTTTTATCTTCATAGCTTCTTTTTGTTTCCTCATACAGAACATTCCTTAAACGTCTTGATTGTTCTTTTAAATTTTACAAGCAGTGATAAATCACATCCAAAGTGGGTTTTGAATTAAAAGATAAAAATGTGACCCTGATCATTTTACACAGTTTTTGCAAATTTCAATTATGACCTTGAAAGGGTAGCTTTTCTATAATATTTGGGTGTATGCTTTTTAACCTTGTGCATGTGTTTTTTTAAAGGCAGCTGAGACTTTTGGTCAAGGTGGAGGTATAGGTAGACACACTTCACCTCCTCACACAATCATAGAAAAGAATTACAACTAGATCTCAAAACAAGTTAACACCAGAACTGTCAGAAAATCGAGCTGTATGGAAGTCCGACGACTAAGAATTTAAAGAAGACACATTCATCCAAACGGACGGGAGTGGCGGAGAGGCAAGAAGATACAACTCGGTACAGAGAGGTGGAAGCAGCAAACAGACAATCCCACATTCAACTCTGGTGGATGAAACTGGGAGGGACACCTAGGGAGCAAGCAATCCCTGCCCCAGGCCACACTGCAGAGCCAGGGTTCCAGTGCCTGGAAGATGAATCCCCGTAACATCTGGCTGTAAATACCACTGGGGTTGGGGTAGCAGAAGATATTGCTGGATTTTCAGGAGACTCGGCTTAAAGAGCCCGCAGGGACTTAAAACATACACCCACCCAGTTGGGAATTCACCCCTAAGGCAACAGCTGGAAGGGTGCCAGTCACAACAGGGTGTGGGGTGAAGTGACTGAAAACAGGGCAAGTGCTGAGCAAACCTCCAGAAGCCAGGCAGCAGCACTGTCACCTCTCTGAGCCCTCCCCACACGTACAGCCACAACGTGGTAAAGTGGGTTGCTTTGCCCTGGCAACAGCCTAAGGCTTCACTCCAAAAAATTTACAGTTGCCTTTTTACAACAGGCCACGCTACTAAGAGAGTCAAAGCAGTTCTACCTATTACACAGAAACAAATACAGGGAGGCTGCCAAATTGAGGAGACAAAGAAATATGGCCCAAATGAAAGAGCAGAACAAAACCCCAGAAAAAGAACTAAAGGAAATAGAGACAACCAACCTATCAGATGCAGAGTTCAAAACACTGGTTATCAGGATGCTCACAGAACTCACTGAGTACAGCAACAACATAAAAGAAGAAATGAAGGTTACACTAAGTGAAATAAAGAAAAATCGACAGGGAACCAACAGTGGAGGGGAGGAAGCCAGGATTCAAACCAATGATTTGGAACATAAGGAAGAAATAAGCATTCAACCAGGAAAGCAAGAAGAAAAAAGAATTTTTTAAAAATGTGGATAGTATAAGGACACTCTGGGACATCTCCAAATGTACCAAAATCCAAATCATAGGGATGCCAGAATGAGAAGAGGAAGAGCAAGAGCAAGAAAAAGAAAACTCCCTAATTTGGAGAAGGAAACAGACATACAAGACCAGGAAGCACAGACCCAAAGAAGTTGGATCCAAAGAGGGCAACATCAAGACACATCATAATTAAAATGCCAAAGGTTAAAGGTAAAAGAGAGAATCTTAAAAGCAGCAAGAGAAAAGAAGATAGTTACCTATAAAGGAGTTCCCATAAGACTATCAGCTGATTTCTCAAAAGAAACCTTACAGGCGAGAAGGGCTGGAAGGAAGTATTCAAAGTCATGAAAGGCAAGGACCTACAACCAAGATTACTGTATCTAGAAAAGCTATCATTTAGAATGGAAAGGCAGACTTCCAGTCAAAATGGGGGAGGCACAGGTAGACACACTGTGCCTCCTCACACAACCAAAAGATGGAGAACAAATTTAAAAACAAAAAACAACCAGAACTGACAGAAAATCAAACTGTATGGAAGTCTGACAATCAAGGAGTTAAAGAAGAAACATTCATCCATACTGGTAGGAGTGGAGAAGATGGGCAGCCAGGTAGAGGGAACTCATGGCAAAGTAGGAGCTGGAGGACCGAGGCGGCAGCTGGTGGAGCAGGTCATCCCATATTTGCATGTGGATAAACTGGGAGGAACTGGGGAGTGAAACAGACCACACAACCCAAGGTTCCAGTGCGGGGAATTAAAGCCTCAAAACCTCTGACTCCAAAAACCTGTGAGGGTTGAGGCGGGAGGATAAACTCCCAGCCTCACAGGAGAGTTTGCTGGAGAGACCCACAGGGTCCTAGAAGGTACACAACCCACCCACTCGGGAATCAGCACCAGAAGGGCCCAATTTGCTTAGGGGTAGTGGCGGAAGGGACTAAAAGCTAACAGAGAGCTGAGCAAGCAGCGCTGTTCCCTCTCGGACCCCTCCCTCACACACAGTGCCACAAGGCAGTGACATGGGTTGCCCCACCCTGGTGAACACTTAAGGCACCGTCCCTTACTATGTGACAGGCGCTCAAAGACAAAAATATGGCCCAAATTAAAGAACAGATCAAAGCTCCAGAAAAAATACAACTAAGCAACAAACCTATCTGAAGATAGCCAACCTATCAGATGCAGAGTTCAAAACACTAGTAATCAGGATACTCACAGAATTGGTTGAGTACAGCCGCAAAATGGCAGAAAAAGTGAAGGCTATGAAAAGTGAAATGAAGGAAATGTACAGAGAACCAACAGTGATGGGAAGGAAACCAGGACTCAAATCAACAGTTTGGACCAGAAGGAAGAAATAAACAGTCAACCAGAACAGAATGAAGAAACAAAAATTCAAAAAAATGAGGAGGCTTAGGAACCCCCAAGACAACTTTAAACATTCCAACATCTGAATCACAGGGGTGCCAGAAGGAGAAGAGGAACAGCAAAAAGTTGAAAACTGATTTGAACAAATAATGAAGGAGAACTTCCCCAATCTGGCAAAGGAAATAAGACTTCCAGGAAATCCAGGAAGCTCAGAGAGTCCCAAAGAAGGTGGACCCAAGAAAGCACACACCAAGGCACATCATAATTATATTAGCCAAGATTAAAGAGGAGGGAATCTTAAAAGCAGTATTAAAGTCTAAATCGAACTTTCAAATCATTGCTAGGCCTACACAAATCTTTTAATCATCAAAACACATCACCCATGAGAGAGATTAGACCCTTTTACAGCCACTGACTCAAAGAACACTTGCAAAAGACAGAGAACCAGAATTTCCTAATATTAAAACTAAAACTTTTCAGCTTCCTTTTTTTTTATCCAAAGGAAAACTGAAAGTAAAATCTGCATCCCAAACACATCTTGAATTAAAATGAATAGATTATAACTTGGCAGTACGTGTCAAAACTTTGAACATATACAGCCTGTGACCAACCAATGTCACTTCCAGGATCTCTCTTACTTCTCCTAGTAAGGAAACTAACGATTTTAGTTTCCTTAAGGATTTAGTCTATATAAGGATTTTCACTAAAGCAGTGTTTGTAAGAGCAAAAATAAAAACCAACTGAATATCCATCCACTCAGGTACGCTATGGCACAAACCCACGATGGAAAACCATGTTGTCAGTTAAAAGAATGAGGTAGCTCCAAATATACAGGCAGGTAAGGAAGTCTTGGGCACACTGGTAAGCAAAAAGGTGACAGAGTGTGTACAGTATGTTCTTACTTTTATTGAAAAAAACTGTGTGTGTGTATGTGCTGTGGAGCAGAGACAGACCTGGGGGAGTACATAAACTGCTTCGGGAAGAAGTAATAGGGCTGGGGGGCGCTGGGGGCGCTGGGGGCCCTGGGGGCCCTCGGGCGTGGGAGGTGGGAGCAGGGAGCAGGCATCCTCTCTCATGTTTTACCATTAGAAGTGTATATTGTTTGACGTTAACACTTACTTTTGAAATAAAAAGGCTTCTGGAGACTAATTTTCTAAAGAATAAAGAACAGCTTATAAAAGCCCTTAGAACAAAATGTAAACTTCTCTGTTCCACTCTCAAGGCGGTGGGGGCCCAGACAGGGCAGCACTGCCCCACGCCCTCACTCAGAAACCCACTCAGGATGCTGTAAACTACATCACTGATTCAGACTTTTAAAGCTGGCAATGCTTCTACTTTCAGACTACGTCATAAACGTCAAAATAAAGGCTTTTATAAGTATACTTCTTAAATTGTGTAAAATACTTAAACAAGTGACTAAAGCTACATAATTCTGCTACACTTTATTCAAAATCAGCCCTACCTCCTAATTACTAGGTTGGCCAAAAAGTCCGTTTAGTTTTTTCTGTAAAATAAAAGACATTTTTCATTTTCATGAAAACTTTATTGATTTGGATATTTTGAGTATATTAGCTATCTCCCATGTGGTGTAACACTGATTGTTCTCAATCAATGACTTGATTTGATCACTGTCAACTTCACCTGGTCTACCTGACCATGGAGCATCATCCAGCAAGAAATCTCCAGCATAAAACTTTGCAAACCACTTTTGACACGTTCAATCAGTCACAGCACCTTCACATACTGCACAAATCATTTGTGTCAGTTGCATTTTTACCTTTCTCGAAATAATGAAGCATAATATGCTGAAAATGTTGCATATTTTCTTCCATCTTCAATATTAAAATAGCTGCACAAAAATTCACCAATTTTGACAAGTTTTTAAAAAATGCATGCTGATATGACAGCTGTCACAATACAATCTAACAAAAGTGTTTCGAATGAGGTCAAAGACAGCTAAGCGCCACTACAGCCATCTTGCAGAAGAAAAACAAACGAACTTTGTGGCCAACGCTATATTGAAGAACTACGACTCTAGTGTCCAAATGGAAATACCCATCATGCGTGGAAAAATAATCTTCAAATTTGTGCTCTGATCCAAATTTGACACATTTAAATCATAACACAAGTCAGACACCTCATATATAACAAAACACTAAAAGTGGCATAGCAGGTTAACTATGATACCACTTGTTAAACTCTCAAACTGAATTGTAATCTTCTGAAGTTACACACACCACAATACACCTTTACACAGGTAATTTTATTCTCTCCTGTGGGTGTCAACAAAGCTCATCGATTATAATTTAAAACATTCAGAAAGCACATAACTGAATATTGTCACATTTCTTTACATCATGATCAAGTAACTATTAAACAGTTATGTCTACTAAATACAGTGAACAAAATGGTATAAACGTTTACACCATTCCCTTGTAAACAAGGCTTTTGTGCACAATAATAACAAATGGAATTATGTCTATCACAACATAGATGAGGAAAGACCTCTTTAAATAAACTATTCTGTTTATAAATAGACTCTGATTTGTTTTAGTACACATTTACAGACCTGATCAATAAAAAGAAACAAGACATACATTTCCCTTTCAAAAGAAACTGTTCAGAAATGGACTACGATGGGAGAATTCACCTAGGAAAAGGGGTCACAAGCAAGCAAAGGATAATAGAGTTAAAAGTACTGTCATAGTTCAGCCTACTTCTGTTCGCTATTACACCAACACAAGGACAGGGTTGTCTGGGAGGAGCTCGTTTTTACTTGAATTCCAGCAAGTTGCAATCAATCTTGTAGTATACATAGGGGTAGTATTCCTGCTGACTCAGGTTTAAGCCTGGAATATCCATAGGCGCCTATGAAAAATGAGACAAATTATTCGACTATGTACTTACAGAAAGTAAACAAAGAAATAAAGTATTACCATTTACCTTCCATTAACACCTACTCTGGACCAAGTTCATGCATTTATGCTAATTTAATCTCAGGTACACAGTATCTCGATTTGCAAATGAGGAAACAAGCCCGGAAAGGGTGACGTGCCCGAGGAGACACAGACAGTGAGTGGTAAGGCCAACTTCAAAGCCTGTGTGTTCACCATGATCCTGCCCCTTTTTATGTGCACAGCAAAAAAAATATTTTTTCTCAAGCTTGGGGTATTCGGTTTATGGGACACAAGGCCTATAAAATATTGGATAACAATAAAACAAGTATGGTTTTAAAGGTATCATATGTATGTCTATTATAAGAATTTACTGGTAGGTCAGATATTTGGACCTCATTATTTTACTGACAATTCCATGAAAATGTAGGTCATTTCCTGCATTTTCTTCTATCAAATAAACCTAAGTTTTCATGGGTTCTAAACTAATGCATGTGTGAGATATACCACCCTAACTAAAGAGGAAGAATATCAACATGTTTGAAAAAATATAAAATAAAAGCCCACTACAATCTTAAACAACAGCAATGCCAAAAAACACACATATTTTGTTTATATTCTCTGTATAAAAAGTATAAAACACATACCATTTTAGAAAAACAATTTGCTTTACAATGCTCATCTGTTTCATTCATTACTTCTACCAAGTGAAAATAATTTTCTTCTCTGCAATTTATAATTTTTGTAAACAAATAATATCACTGATTGGTTCCATATTTCTGCAACTATAAACATCTGATTTATAGCAAAATAGTAATTGGCTTTTAGGAATCCCAGATCTAACTTCCATAAAACAGCGTAAACAAGGTAAATTACTTGCTATGTTTATCTAACAAACTAATTGAGAATCTCAATAATAAAAACAGAATGAATTACCACAATGCTCACTGTCCCTTTTCTGTCTTTTCCAGTAATTTTTTCTGAAACTCATTCCAGTTACGATTCTATGAGGCTATCTAACAAGTACTTACATCAATAATAGCTGCCGCACTACTATCTAGATGTTTATACAATTCGTATAATACTTCTCTTAGTTTCTTCATTGTTTTTTTATTGGGCTGAAGTAGCATTGCTTGAAAGTTCACTGGCAGGCCATACCTTATAAAGAAGCAAAAACACAGTATGTAACACAAGCAAACACACAGACTTTACTTTTAAAGCAAATACTCTCATCCTCTCCTTGAAGCATAGCTAATGGGGAGAAGGCACCTCATTTTAACAACCACCATTACAAGTTCAACTAACATACTAACATACACAGAAACTCAAACCTTCTCTGGTCCTCATTGTCCACTAGGTATTTTTCTTTAAAATTGGAGCCAACTGTCTACTAGGAATTACTTTAATTACTCTTCAATATTTAAGGGAATCTATGAATAAAATAATGATAGTATGTAAACTTAGTAAATACTTTCATGATAAACAACATGAAATTAACCACATCTTACTTTAAAATTCAAAGTAATTTAAAAACAGTGAGCATAGCTGAAGATAAATCTTTCACAATTTCTAATATGAGTAATAGGTATAGAAGACCATAAGATATTTATGTATGTCAAATATGAACTATTTTTGGTTAAATAAAACAATGATTTCAAATGTCATTACTATACTGTACCAAACTACATGTAAATATCTGAAAGATCTTTCTTTTAAACAAACATTGGCTAATATTTTATAATCTACTTTCAACCTAAATAAATGTATAAGAAAGGAATCAGCGTACAGCAGCATGGATCTCTTTCTGAATCCAGTGTTAAGAGACACGGCACATGTGCACGTAATAAGCTGTATGACACTGACAGTCTCTCCTTGTGACTGGCCCTTTGGTTTCTACATACAATTTCCTATTACTGGACTGTGTGTTACAATAAAGAGGTCCAATATAAGGGCACCTATGAACTCTTCAGATCCAAGTTTCTTAATGAACTTTCTTTACCTTAAAACAGATTCAACAAAAACCCTCAATGCTTTCACATGAATCCATGCAATAAATGCTTCACTGAAATTCACTTTCAGCCACCGCACAAGTGGACCCTATAAAGAGGGAAAAAAATCACCACAAACTTGGTCTTGAAAAATGGCAAGTAGGTATTAGATGAACCAATTGGCTTTATTAGACATTTACTTGGTTAGGATTAGATTTCTCTCAACTGAGATAATATGATTTATAAAGTACTTAAAAATAGTTTAAAATGAAACTGCCTTTATTTTCTTTCTCATTACAAGAGAAACACCTTTGCACTAATCACGTCTCCCCTCCCAATCTTTCGGTCTTCACGATTATCCTACATCTTAAGACAGCAAGAAAGTGCACACCAAATACATTCCTGTTCCCTGTTCTGCCTAGAATATCATAACTCTCCAATGGTTTAAATAAAAACTGCTTCAGTAAAACCCTGTGGCATTTAAAAAAACTGCTCTAAGAAAATGAAAATTGTTACTGGAAAGAGAAAGCTGTACTACTTAAATCAACCATTCCACTTCAGGGGCTCTAACTAACACCCTGCATTTAAAATGAACTTCTCGCATGGATTTAGATGGAGTAATGAATTTTAGGTATGTATTTTAAGATAACCATTCACAAATCCAAGCTTGTTTAGAGAAAATTCCTTCTGATTATTTAATAGAAAAAGTAATTAAAATCAAATGTCTTCAATGCAAAGTCAGAGTATTGCTTTCTTTTAAATCAAATAAAAGCAACACCAGTTTTTCTTCTGCTTAACACTGATAACACTAAATATTAAGAATACATACAAATTGCTTTTTCTTGTCAGTAGAAAGCCTGTTCATTTCTTCTTTGTCTGCTTTCATTTCCTCTTCATTATACTGAAAGTCACGAACAATGAATCTAAATTTGGGAGGAAAAATCAAAATTGTCCATACTGTGTTCAGGTGATTTAACAAGTTAAAAAACAAATGAAAAAAATAGTAATCTTACTTGTTTTCCCTGGCTTTGTGCCTGAAGTCATCAACCGCCTTCCTGAACAGTGTGACATTACAAAGGTAACTGTCTTGGTCCTCCGAGAGAACACTACGGAACAAAAGACAAAGCCCACTGAAAACCTGGCGTTTACCTGCCCTCTGTTCGTATCAGAGACAGAAGGCAGACAGTGGAGGGGCAGGACGACGCGCAGACCACGGCGGCCCTTCCCAAACCTGCCTCGAACCCTGAAGACACCGCGTTGCCCATGTTTTTGTCTCCTCCAACAGCCCTACACGACATCTGCCGCCTCCTAACCAGTCACATTGAACAGGAACTCAAGGACAGCATCCGCACTCTAAGCAGCACGCTTCTCAGTCCACATCACTGCCGGGCTGGCCTCAGCAACACCGTCCGTGGCTGGTTTGATTCCAGAGTCTCCTGGCGTCCTGGCTAAGCCTCCTCTTCTCTCCTGGAAACCTAACTCTCCCCCTCTCCGGCCCACCCTCTCTGCACCGCCGGAACCTCCTTTCTCTCATCACAGCCTGGATCAAACCGCACACAACTGCCTGAACTACCCCTGAGAAAACGCACCTGCATGTTCGTCTCAGGGCTCCGTGTCAGGCTTCAGAAGACCCCAGTGGGGCCAGCCCTTCCACCCAGTCACGGGCTCCTGGACATCACTGCAAAGACCTGCCGCCTTCTCGGCTCCCCAGACAACCTACCTGCCTCGTTGTCAAGACACCTTCCCCGCTTTTCTTCATAAAAGTGATCTTCGTGATCTCTGCCGTGAAACACGAGAAAGTTTTCTCGGCACGACAGCTAGTGCGGCTCGTTCCAGGCCTTCCTAGTTCGGCTCCTGCACCTCATCTGCAGCCCCAGGTCCCTGCACTTACCCCTCCATGAAGCCCCGCTGAGCCGGCGGCGCTGCTTCCAACAACTGAGAAAGGCAGAAGTGAACAGTGGTCTGACCTAATCAAACCATCTTAAGCAAAAGTACACGGACGAAAAGGAAAGTGGTGATTCTGAAAGCAGGAACAAGAAGCACCTCACCATGAACCATTTTTCAACCAGAAAGGAGCAGAGCAGCAGCCCGTCCTCCGCTTCTCTGACTGCTACACCGACACGCAACACACACGTCCTGCGCGTAACTGCACAACAGGGCGGTGTTGCAAACTGTCCAACAGCTTAGGACTTCAGGCAGAACATTTTGCAGATAATCAGATTTTACATATTTTAAAATGAAACTGTTCCTTCCGGGTTTGAGATGGTATTTTTCAACCTATTCTTCTACCTCAGAACTCCACTTTCACCTCACTCTCCCCAAGACAGTCGCTCCAGTATTGCACCAAAAAAGCAAAAAGTCAAAGTATCACTACTTATGAGTTTTTATAAAGTCACTTAGAACAATGACCATCACACCGTCATTAGTCAAAAACCTTAAGTACTATGACAGCCAGAGAAAATCTAGTCTCAAGGCACAGAGATCCTTCCTCAACCTAGGACACCTTCCAGACCAGCCCACCGGGCCTCCTCCCCGCCCCCCACCCCAAACTAATCATCCTCCTCACAGTGCAGGCCGCACTACTGCTCTGCTCTGAACGGCTAAACGCACACGGCAAGTCAGTGCGTGCTCAAGTCAGCGATTCCAAATGACTTCCGAACAGAGACAGAGCAGAACAGACGTTCTCACTGGGTGAGGAAGGGCGGGGTCGTTCCGAAGACAGGTCCTGCCCGCACTGCACGGTCACTGCCTGCCACTTTTCCCCTGAAACCACTCAAGTGATTTTCTGAAGATGTGCATTTCTAAAGTAGTATTTTAAAGTCCTTCTTTTAGAGTAAATCTGGGCCTACTTAACTAGCCTGCTCACCATCCCCTGGAACTCAAACGTGGCACGCGTACCACTTGGGCGGACCTCATGTGTGCACAGGGTCCTTACTCTCGTCCCTCCCTGGCCCCCCAGACAAAGTGGACCTCTATGGCTCTAATGCGCTACAGGGCACGGAGGTGTAAGACAGGTTGTCCACCAGAGTTAGAGCTTCAGAAGAAAACCAGCGCCGAGACCTGACATGTTTACCAAGTGAAGGGCTGGTGTGAGTGAAAGCTAGAGCACCCCTCCCAGTGCCCACTCTAAAATTCGAGATGGGCACAGGTTTGTGGTTTAGGTCTCAAAAAAAATCACCGTCTGTGAAACTACAATACTAATCATACACTTTATATTTTGTAAATCTTACCAAAGCCTTAAAATAACCTTACGACATGTACAAAGGAGGTGCTATATTCACTTTACAGACAAAGAAAATGAGGCCCAGAGAAGTCAAAAGACTTACCCCAGGTCACACAGCAAGTTGGTAGCAGAACGCGCAATAGAACTCAGATCCCTGAGTCCAGGACTCTTCCCATTCTAGTAAGCTACCTCCCATGTGACACATTGAAACTGGAAAAGGAAATAGTTCGTGGGCCTGGCCTTACTAGTTGCACTTCCTACTATGGCCTATGCTTTCTTTCCCCATGCTGCCACCTTCGGGGCGTGCAAGTACCCTGCCATTTATTACTGTCTCAGAGAACACCTGGTGTGCAATAGCCCAGTACAGAAACAATGACAAGGTATAGTGTCAAAGAGTACACGACCGGGAGTGCTAGTCCAGCTCTGTCACTGGGCATGGGAGTTGCCACATGCCTTAAGCAACTATTTAAGTTTCTGCGTTCTGACTTCCTCATCTATAAGAATAACTCCCCAGACCACCCCACAGAATTGCTACAATCAGACAATGTATGTTAATCCATAAAGTATAAAGTGCTTAATAAAGGGGTTTTCTAATGGAAAGTATAAATTAGGTAGAATCTATGCCACTGGACACTGGCAGTGACGATTTGGAGAGCCACGCAGAACTCGAACAGCCACTCTGGGACACTTCCCTCACAAGGTCAGTGAGGACTCATCAGAGGTACCCAGGAATGCTGATTAAAGAATTTTCAGAAGGTAGCAGAAAACGTGTCACACCAGAGACCTGGGTTCTAGTTCTAGCCCTGCACTCACAGGATGTGTGACTCTGGGCAAACCACTTCGCTTCTGTGGCCTCAAACTTCTACATCCGTAAACATGAGTGGGTGAATCAGACTGTGTACGTCCCTTCCAGAACTAAAATTATGATAGCCAGAATTAATATAACTTGTTTATAAGGTGAAATAAAACTATAAACTTCCCACAAAGATATTTCCTAACCCAACATCCAAACTATAAAAGGAATTTTCTAGGAAAGAAATGGATTTTACAAAGACTACTACTTACTTGCTAGACCTTGGAACTACCATTTCAGCTAGTGTTTCATACTGCTTAATCCAGTCATTGTGGTTTAACCTGCAGAAAAGGTACAACAAGCATTGGAAAAGAAAAGTAAGTCCTACCTCCAGCCACATCCAGAAAGAAAAGAAATTAAATGATGGGACAAATAGGAAATTTGGCTAAATATATGTCAAATCTATCTAATAAAAATATTTACGTTTCCTACTGAGAATGAATTTCAAACACACTGAATGAAGAAGTACCTATGGTTCACCACCCTTATATCCACTACCTATTGCAAAGCAGACACATCCCAGAACTAAGTTTGGAAAGGAAGTAAGGCAAAGCATATTTTCTAAATTACTTTCAAACTTTAGGGTTGATAATGTATAGAAAAGAAAAGAGAGAAATAGAAAGAGAGACAGAGGGGGAGGGAGGGAGGGAAAGAAAGAGGCCACACCGAAAGCACTATCACTTCCTTCCAGTAGCAGAGGAAGGCTGGACGAGAGGATATTTACTGAAAGCACCGAGCACCAGGAAGTACTGAGCCAAGTGCCAGTAAACCTTGCTGCCACAGAACAATTGTGCAACAACCTTCTCTAGAGAACTGGCTTTTGGGGTTGTAGAAAGAGACAATCATGTTTGTAATTTAAAATAAAGAACTATAGTATTTGTAGGCCGGGGCAGAGAATAATTCATTATTACCCTAAATAAGGTAATGCCTTGGTCCTGTTTCAATTACAGCGTAGAGAAAACGAAAAATCTTCTGGTTTTAAACACAAATTTTATTTATTTTTTTGGGGGGGGGTGGAGAACTAAAGGGAGAGAAACATTGATGTTCAAGAAAAACATTGACGGGTTGCCTCTCACATGCCCCCAGCTGGGGACCCAGCCTGCAACCCAAGCATGTGCCCTGACTGGGAATCAACTGGTGACCTTTCAGAACGCAGGCCAGCGCCCAATCCACTGAGCCACACCAGTCAGGCACATCCTTTGCTTCTTATACGGCTTAATTCATCCTAACCAAACATAAACATTTTTCAAAAAACAAAAATAAAAGAACAAAGAACTTTGTATCTTAGAAAATTTAAATCCATTTTCTAAATCAAATAATTTAACATTACTTAACTTTTTAATGAGCCAACTCTATTAAGCTGCTAAACTGATTTTGAAACTTCAATTTATAACTCATGTCTCTAGTTATAACTAAACTCTACCATCCGTGCCACAGGGGTATGCTAGCTGACAGAATGAATGACAGGTGACAGTCCCTTTACATTTAGGCTTTATGAGAAACTTCAAATTACCATATCAGTGTTGAACATTTTTCTTGTAATTTAACAAGTAAAAACCTTTGTAATAAAAAGACATACTTGGGAACTACGACCAGTAATGTGACGAGATACTCTGAATCAAGAACAAAGTCATCCTTCTTCACAATTTCTGCTAGACTTCTAGTTAGCAAACTTCCCCTGAGGAAGAAGAAAGAAATCATTAGGCTGATAATTACATGCTCCCACAACACAAGTAAAGAAACAGCAAACTAATTATATCCACATACACTATTCAGACATCTCAAGAGAGCCACTGGTCTAGTTAACATTTTTACTTTATAAGTTGTCAAAGTTTAGCTATTTCTCACCCCTGCAACCAAAGAAATGTCAATTTATCAAAATAGGTCTCCAGTGTCTCCCTTTGTGTTTGCTCTAATTAATGTAACTCGGGTCTTCTCTTGATTACATATGTAATATCCAGACTGAGAAAGTGTTACTCATTAGGTCTTAATTAAAGTCTATTTCATTGTAATTATGAAACTGTATCATCTAAGCACAACCCCTGGTTTTCCTCCCTCCCCCTGGGTATCACCTGATACCAGGCGATTCTGGCCGGTTGCCCAACAGTCAACCCTTTCCGGTCAGTCTTCGTCTGGTCTCCCAGTGCGGACCCCTCCTAACGGAAATGTCTGGCCTGCTCACACCACTGACAGCACATGCCAACCAGCTTTTCCTCTGGGACAGAATGCTTAACAGCTAAGTGCTTAAAGCTGCGCTTGTAGCAGTCCTGCTGCAAGGAGATCAACCCAAAGAAACGTGTTCAATTTAAGGAAACCTACTGTGCAAAATCTCTGAACTGGGAAAACGAAGAATGAGTATTGCATTATAAAAAGATTCTTCCACAGAAGTCTTTTGACCAGATTATGCAATTAAACTATGATTTGATTTAAAACAATTTTAGACATTTTTCATCAAATGCACAAAGGCATAAACCAGGATTGAGCTCTTAAGTATCACTCACAAGTATTAATTATGAAACAAGTATGAAAAGTCTGTCTCACATCTACTTTGATTAGACTCAATTAATAAACTTTTTTCCATGAAGTGAAAAAATAAACAGCTGCAACTTACTAAACCCCAACAATCTCTAACTCAGTGTATGCTAGAGTACTTCTCTCATTTTCTTTCTAAATCCGCACTCAAGGATATGTTTATTAATTTTAGAAAGAAAGAGGAAGGGCGGGGGGGAGAGAGACAGAAATTTCAACACAAGAGAGAAAAACATGGATCAGCTGCCTGGTGGATGCACCCCAACCAGGGATCAAACCCACAACCGTTGGTGTAGGGGACAACGGCCCAGCCAACTGGCCACGCGGCCGGGCACTTCTCTAATTCCTCATATTCACCAACACTTGGTGTGCTTACGCGTTCTTTCGTTCCAAATTCTGAAGATTCCCTTTCAGGTTATTATATGCGGATGCTCGAGATTTCAGGTCATTGTCAATCTGAGTTACTCCCTTAAAAAAAAAAAAAAAGAGGCCAGGTATTCCTAATCTACATCTGTTAATATACAGTCAACTGTACTTAAACATTAACTTTAAAAAAACAACTACTAGTTCCTGATGTAAAAAGATTCTGTTTTTTAAAGCACAACTTTAAAAGGTCATTTAAGAAAATATAACCTAATGGGGGGAAGGTGTATTAAATGGTAATGAAAAAAATACAATAAAGATTACATTTAAAAGAAAAAATAACATACTTTATTTTTAATAACCATGGTAATTTCCATATGAACCTTTTCTACTCAAAGTAATATTTTAGTCCTCATGTATTTCAATTATTTACTGTACTACTTCTTAAACCTAAATGAAATCTAGGCCAACAGGTTTAGAGATTACTAATTAAAAGGCTTTAATTCACAAGGCTGACGGATTGTTCCCTAAATAAACTAGATTAGTTTTATTCTTCACAACTCCACTATTATTATACAGAAGTTTTCTCAATGTAACTTGAATTGTCACTGAATTTATTTATGAATGTTAAAAAGCTGATTTTTCCAAAAGATGGCTACGGCTACTAACAATTTAGGGAGAAAATGCAAAGCAGTGGATTTCACATTTGAGTACCTTGAGTCTGGCCTCTTAAACCATTTAGCCATCCTGACAGCCTGATTTAATAGTTGAAAAACTAGCTTCGACTCAGCTCTACCATTATTATTCATTCAGCCGTGTCGTGTGATACTGGGTAAGTCACTTCACTTGCTCTGAATCTCCTACCTCATCTATAATAGTATCAGGAAGAGGAACACTAAATCCTTGATAAGAACTGAAACAGGCTCAGTCATAGTAAGAGCACCATTTTATAATATTACCAAACTACTAATTTTCATTAAATTACATGATGACTTTAGTTAAATCCTTGATAATCTATTCAGTTACATTTAACTATAGAATATACTATACAAATAAAGTGATTGAGAATCAAAGAAATATCTGTCCAAGTAATTGACACCATACTTTTTATTCTATAGCCAGGTCACAAAAATACTGACAACAGTAAGTCCTTGTCTATTTGCCTCATTATAATTTCAGGTAAGACTTCTACACTTTCTCTCAAGCTCCAGGACTGCAATATAAAAAGGAGCTTTTAAACTCTTGAGTTCATGGATGGGCTTCAGGATTTGTGTACTCCTTGGAAATGTTTAAAAATCATACGGTACATAAACACAGGCACCTTTCTGGGTAGAGAAGCAATACTGAATGTCAGAAGGCGTCAGAGAACATGAAGTTTCATGTCTAAATCAGTATAAACATACCTAAGTAGCCATTACCATCTACGTGACTCACAAATCCTATTTAATAGACTCCGATTTCCTATTCTACATGATCTCAGTTACCCTTACAATCTGTATACAATATAGAATTTTAAAGTTTCTTTCCTTAAACATTGTTGATGCAACATTAAACTTAACTATGCAAGTGCATAAACTACATAACTTGGATAATCTATACATAGAAGTGCTATACTTGTTTTTAGCAAAGTTGTAGTCAGGGTACCTCCTGTTTCTCTAAGTCACATATAACTAAGTTGCCTTTTCAAAACCTAAAGAGTATTTCCATAGCTAACTGCTTATAAAATAAATGAAGCCACTATAAATCAATGTGTCCTACCTGTGTCATTTTTTATCTTACCTTGGCAATTATTTCAGAAATATTTTTCAGGGACTGCTTGATTGGATATTTAGCCATGTCCCACTGAAACCTTGTTATATAAGTAACCAAGTCAACTGAAATGAGGGAATAAGTTAATTACTGAGGAGAAGCAATAGGGTTTTTGTAGTTTGCTACACAGTAAACATTCCTATTTTAATGCTGAAATTGGCATTGAAAAAACTGGTAAAGATGTCATGATTTCCGAAGCATTCTGATTAAATAAAGGTGGAACTATATTGAGTATGATGAATTAATCAAAATTCTCCTTGCAATCTGATTGGATCTCTTACCCTTACTCAACATTTAATATATATTAAAATACTCCTTCTAATCTGACAACTTAGTAGATGGAACATGTACGTACCCATGGTACGCCTCATATGCAGGAAAGAGATAAAAAGATAAAGAAACTGCTTCAAATTGTCTCAATTAGCAGAATTTGACAAAAGTATGCCCTGTCTTTGCCAAATAACCTGAACAAACTGAAAATAAACTTGCTGTTAACACCATGTGATGATTGTTCCTAGGGGCCTATACTTCAAACAATCTCCAAAACACAGAACCTTCCACTTTCAAATAAAAAAAATAAAAACTTTAGAGCCAAAGAGACAGCCAATAACTTTTCCTGAAAGTTTAGTCATCAAGATGACTTTACCCTTCAAGCCTGATCCCATCAGACTTGGGTCAGGGAGCCCAAATGTCAAGTACAGCTAACTGGAAAAAATAATTCATCTCAAAATATCATTCTCTCCTCAACTTCTCCCCTTTAATTCCAACAACTCAATAATGTAGACGGTACTTCCAAAATCAATTTGAAATGCACTGCCCCCCTAGAGTGTCAACCCCCTTTCCACCTATGAGACTGGCACCCTAGTTCATCAGTCACCTAAAAGATGAATAAAACTGCCCTAAATTAACATATCTACCTTCTGTCCCTATGTCCCAAACAAAAGTTAACAGAAACACTAAATCAGATCAGGAGCACTCTCAAAACAAAGAGCAAGAATAAATTATATATTTTTATAGATTATGTGTTTACTGAAGATATACTTATTTGCAAGGAGAAGAAATGAGATTAGAGAAATGTAGATTTAAAATACTGTTACTTTAGAGAGTTTAGCCAAACTACTCCATGCTGCTGCGTTGGCATCCACTGTGTGTGGCCAAGTGGCCTGTAGGGGCCTAGAAATTACACTACCCGTCCCCTCAATAACAGCCCCATATAACAGCCTGCAGGCTCACAACTAATGTGAGTTCCATGGATAACTCTCCCACTGCCTAGGGCCTTCCTCTTGTGGACCCTTTAGATAAGACACTTTCCAAGTTACCAAAACCCTATTCTTTCTGGTTTGAACTGACCTACCAGAACTTAGCCTGAGAACCCCAAAGCATTCCACCCCCAGACCCTATCAAAGGCACATGTCCCAACACTCTCAGCTGTACCCTGCCCTGCCTCCTCCAGGACCTGTGAGTAATAAACTTCTCTATTTCACTTTCCCTTGAGGTCTCTGGTTGGTCCTATCCCATGACTCCCTGGAGCTCTATTTAATAAATGTTAATCTAACAAAGTCACATCAGTGACCTTATCATGTATTTAGTTATATTATAATGTATTATAATATGTATTATAATTATATTGTATTATAATGACATAACTAAAGATCCGCCTACTTTAAAATGAAACAAATGCTAACATGGTATTTCCCAAGAAAACAGCAAGTCCAAGTACAGATGACAATGATATCAATGCCATCTTTACAAAACCATTGCACAGAGCAAACTCTATGGAAATGTTAAGTTCTAGCTGCAAAAAGATCAGTACCCAACTACTGTACAGGTACTAAGGTAAAGAAATGCCGCATTCACATTTGAAGGCAGGGGACATTACTCTGTAATAAAAAAATAATTTTTACTCTAAGGCTTTATCAGTTGGATGCTATTAAAAATTTAAAAGTTAGAAAGACAACAAGTACTTAACTAAAAAAAAAAATGCTCAGACACATAACTTGGAAACACATTTGTAAATGTCAACTAACAAATAAATACCGGAAAGAACTAAGATAAATCTTTATAATACTGCGTCTGGAGGGATTTGACATCCATATCATAAGCTATACTATACATTATGTAAGACTGTCTCAGATGAGCCTGTGTTTCGGGAGGCAACTTGTAACTAGCAGTATCGCTGAATTCAGTAATTTCTATATTTTAATGTCCGTCTATCACATTTAAGATCCTTATCTATAGATTTAAATTCTTTTTTTGTTTTTATAGCTTAGTCATTCACTTCATACAAGTCAACATCAAATCATGAAACATTAGCTTACCTCCGTTTGCCAAGAGATTCTCCTGAACCTTGTCTTTACTGTCCTCTAATACGTCAGCCATATACTGAGCCACTTTCTTAACCACCCTTTAGAGGCAAAAAAAAAAAAACATATCCTTTTCAGGAGAAAAAGACCAGAATTTCATGCTATACAATGAACACATTACATAAAGATGTGAATTTGACTATATGTTTCCATTATGCATATCTATATAATATAGAACAAATGGATCCTAACTTTTATAAATAATGAGTTTTTTAAAATATTTTTTATTTAATTATTGTTCAAGTACAGTTTTCTTTTACTCCCATCCCAGCCCACCCACCCCCCGTGCTCCCCACCTCCCTCCCATTTTCACCCCCCTTAGTTTTTGTCCATGTGTCCTTTATACAAATAATGTTTGAAGGACAGAACAGACCAAAATTTTTATGTAAAACTCAGCTGAATTAACTGTTTATTAGTCTGGGGCAAAAAAGTAGTGAGAAACAGCCTATAGAGAGCCATATGGTATAAAATGAAAAACTAGGCAATGGATCTGACTGTTAAGGACCAAGAACAAAGGAGGAGGCAGCAAGCCAGCACTCACCAACTATATGCTTCCCCAGCGAGCAACAGAATACAAGCAACAATAAAGACGACGAATGAGGTCCTACATCATTTATTCATTAACTATTTATGGAGCATCTACATTTGCAAGGAGCAAGCCTGTACAAGAAACCTTAGTACCAAAACTCCTGAGGCACCTAGATATCACCCCGTTGGTCCTTCATTTTATAAGAAAAGACCAAGTTACAAAGAGAGTAAGTCACAAAAGTCAGTTACAAAACCAGTCAGTGGCAGATTTGTGATCGGAAGCATGGTGCCCTGACTCTGGAGTCCGGTGTCCCTTCCGCCGTCCATGTGTGCCTCTAGGCCCTATATATTCCAAAGTATCTAGGGCAAAAATCACTAACTTCACATTGCTTAAAGTTGAACTGGAGAGCTACCAAAATATACAAATGACTAAATACAAAGCAATCTGTGATAAGTGCCAGCGCAGATTATCAGGTTAGAGAAACAGAGAAGCATAAAGGAAAACGGGAGCACTGCCAACGACTGTAATCAAGAACCATATGGCTCATGAACAGGGTAAAGAAAGGTAAGAATGGTTTTGAAAGGATGACTCGACAGAAAGAAAGTACACTCTCGCCACAGGGCATCAGATGAGTCAAGACCGGGAGAGGCAGAAACACGACTGACACTCAGAGAACGAGGACGGGTCCCGACTGCCTGGACCATCATGCTGAGGCAAAGGGGCTGCTGCGCTGGGAGGGCAGGCCGGGGCCAGACCGCCGCAGCCTCCGATGCCAGACTTTAGAAGGAAGTGCAACGTGGTCAAATCAGGGCTCCCAATTACCTGATGACCACGTGCTCACTGGCAGGGAGGGTAAACTGGAAGTCAAATGAAGAAACTCCTGCACAATGACCAGTAAGGACCAGAAAAATTGACAGAAGGGCTCAATTTGAATGATCTCAACCTAAGAAAGTAGAACAATTTCAGAAAAAAACTATAAGCTATAAATCTTCGACATGTTTAACTTGAGATTTGTACATACACTTCTGGCTATGTCTCCAAAATGTTTACCTGTTCCTTCAAAGGAGAAAAACTATTATTCCCATGTACGTCCACAAGTATCTTGTAAGCAGAAATGTTTGCTATGAACATTCAAAAATGTGCATACATTTACCTTAGAAATACTTCAAAGTACAGAACTTTTTGGCATCACATTTATAAACTTAATGTAATACTGACTCAGAATTTTAGTCTCGCTATGTATCTCGACAAGCCTATGTCAAGGTACACCCAGTCCCTTTAAAAAAAAAACTGCTCAAATGATTAGACTGCTGGAAGAAATTAAGCTATAATTTGTTCCACACAGCATAACATTTAGACTTTAAAAACTGGAACATTTAACTCACTGAGGTACCATCTGTCAATTCTACCAAGGCCTAACAACCACATGACTTTTAAATTCTTCCTATCTTTCAAGAAGACTGGTAAGACAAGACCGCATAACCGTGCAGAAAAGAACAGCTGACGAACTACACAGGTGACTCAATCCTACTGACTAGATGAACTACCTTGCTGTGAAAACTTTTCAGATTCCTTCCCTAGAAAAATGTGACCAAACTTTCAACTACACTCAGGACAGTCCACCGACAATTTAAAGAAAGACCTATTAAGACACAAAGGTACTTAATAAGGATCAAGGTAAGGGTTAATAATTATGTTCTCAGGAACCGCCCTTCTCAATGTCTCTTCGGTTGTCCTGCCCTGAAACTGTAATGAACTGGACAAGCTGTAGAGAAGACCATAATCTCAGGAATAGCAACCACAGAAAGTTTCTTCAAACTCTAAATTAAAAACCTGTACTCAAGAAACCAAGAGATGACCAGTTAGTCCTTTGAGAATACCATCAATAACTATTTTCACATTTGCTCTACGCAAATGCACGGAATTATTAACCTTAGAAGTACTTTGTTAATTTTTGTTCATCCTCTCTTTTCCATTCTATTGTCAAGTGGCTGGCCTTGGATATCTCTTGCCTAATCTACTGTAAAACTGTCTCTTAACCAGCCTTCTTGGGTCCAGTATTAAAGACTATCAGCGTACCTTTAGGTCTCTTTCTTTCCTTACCACATGTTACTACGTCAGAAGATCTCTCTGGAACATCTCAGCCTCTACTACCGGAGAACTTGCATTACGGTGGTTCTATCAATGCAGAAAAGCCTAACAGCATAAACAGTACACCCTTCTGCACAGGTATCGAGAATAAATTCCCTTCTATTCAAGCCTGTTCCCTTAAAGTTTTAGTCAAGTGTACATTTCCAAGATTCTCTATATTTTACAAAAATGCCTATTAACTTATAAGTATTTAAAAGCTCTGCATACCAAAAATTAAAGGAATTGGTTCTGCCAATTAATCAAAATGCAGAAAGTTATCAAGGATCCCATATCCATCTTCAGCTGAAATATACAATAACTAAATTTTAAAAGCTACTGAAAATGTAGGCTAGAAAAATTCTTCTAATGAAACTCAATTCTGAAAACAAAAGCACCACCATCTTCAAATAAATTACATAGCATCCCATGTTCATGGATCAAAGACTTATCAATATTATTAGGATGGCAATGCTCTTCAAACTCATCTACAGATTCAACACAGTCTCATCCAAACTCCAGCTGACTTCTTGGCAGAAATATGATACAATGATCCTGAAATTCACACAGAAATGGAAGGAATGAGAATAGCCAAAACAATCTTGAAAAAGAAAAACAACGCATACTTCCTGATTTCAAAACTTACTACAAAGCTACAATAATCAAGACAATGTGGTACTAGCACAAAAATAGAAATATGGAATAGAGAAATATGAAATAGAACTGAAAGTCCAAAAATAAACTCCCACGTTTATCTTCAAACTGACTTTTGGCAAGGGTGCCAAGACAATTCAATGGAGAAGGAACAGTCTCTTCAACAAATGGTGCTAGAACAACTGGACGTCTACATGAAAAGGAATGAAGATGGACTCCTATCTCACACCATATACAAAAACGAACTCAAAATGGATCAAAGACCTAAACGTAAAAGCTAAAACTATAAAACTCTTAGAAGAAAAAGTAGACATAAAACTGTGTAACTGTGGATTAAGTAAGGTCTCTTAGGTATGAAATTAAAAATACAAGGAACCTTGCCCTGGCTGGTGTAGCTCAGAGGATTGAGCATGGGCCTGCAAACCAAAGGATCTTGGTTTGATTCCCAGTCAGGGCACATGCCTTAGTTGCAGGCTAGTTCCCAGCAAGGGACACACGAGAGGCAACCATACATTGATGTTTCTCTCCCCCTCTCCTTCCCTTCCCCTCTAAAGATAAATAAATAAAATCTATTAAAAAAATACAAGGAACCAAATTAAATTGGACACTAAAATTAAAAATTTGTGCTTCAAAGGGGACAGTCTCAAGAAAATAAAGACAACCCACAGAATGGGAGAAAATATTTGCAATTTGTCTGATATGCATCTGGAACATATAAAGAATTACTATAACTCAATAATAAAAAGACAAGTAAGCCAATGTATAAATGGGCAGAGGATCCAAAATCAACCCTTCTCTGAAAAAATGCAAATGTCAAATAAACACATGATAAGATGCTCAATCAACAAACAATCATTAGCCATTGGAAAAATGCAAATCAAAAACAAAATACTACTTCATGTCCACTAGGATGGCTGTAATCAAAAAAGTGAATAGTTAACAAGTGTTGGGGGCAACTGTAACCGAACAACAATGAAAAAAAGAATGTGGAGAAACTGGAACTTTCAGATGCGGCTGGTAGAACTGTAAAGTGGTGCAGACACTGTGGAGAACAGTCTGGCAGTTCTTCAAAATGTTACAAGCAGAGTTACCTTATGACCCAGCAATTCCACTCCTAGGTACATACACACCCAAGAGAAATGAAAACACTATGAATACACAAAACCATACACAAATATTCATAGCAGCTTTATTCATATTAGCCAAAAAGTGGAAACAACCTGAATGTCTATCAACTGATGAATAAACTAATAAAACGAGGTATATCTACACAATGAGGTATTATTTGGTAAAGAAAGAAATTAAATACTGGACTTCCAGCCAAGATGGAGGCGTAGGTGAAAACACCGTGCCTCCTCCCACAACCAAGTTTAAAGACAACAAAATTTTAGTAACAAAAATGCAGCCAAAACACAGAAAATTGAACTGTATGGAAGTCCGACAACACGGAACTGTTCATCCAGACTGGTAAGAGGGGCGGAGTCAGCAGCGGAGCAGGGTCAGGCAGGAAAGATCAACCGGACTGACCTAGGAGCTCAGGCAGCAGTTGGCGGATCCCAGGTGTGGGGTGGCAACAGGTGGACCCAATGAGGGTGCAAGGCGGCTGGCTGACAGCGGTCACACATTTGTGCTCGGATAAACCAAGTAAAGGAGCGAACAGTGAGACAGACTGCTCAGGCCAGGGCCTCAGCGACGGGAATTAGAACCTGAAAGCACCAATTGGAAAGACTTTCGGGGTCGAGGTGCTGGGAGAAGCTCCCAGGCTCACAGAGAGTTTGTTGGAGAGACCCACAGGGTCCTAGACGGTGCACAGGCCCACACACCTGGGAGCCAGCACCAGAAGGGCCCAATTAGCCTGTGGCAAGCAGCAGAGGGGACAGAAACCTGAGACAGAGCAGAACAAACGCCACTGCCCCTCTCTGACCCCACCCCCACATACAGCCTCACAACCCAGTGACTTGGGTTGCCCCACTCTGGTGAACACCTAAGGCTCCACCCCTCATACATAACAGGTGCGAATAGACCAAAACATTATGACTCAAGAACAGCTCAAAGCCCCAGAGCCAATAAATCTAAATGACCAAGAGATAGCCAAATTTTCAGATACATAGTTCAAAACACTGGTGATCAGGATGCTCACAGAACTGGTTGATTTTAATCACAAATTAGAATGACAAATGAAGGCTACACTAATTAAAATGAGGGGAAATGCACAGGAAACCAATTGTGATGGTAAGGAAACTGGGACTCAAATCAAGGAAGTGGTCCAGAAGGAAGAAAAAAATTACCAAACAGAAAAGAATGAAGAAAAAAGAATTCAAAAAAATGAGGAGAGGCTTAGGAACCTCCGGGACATCTTTAAACATTCCAACATCCGAATTATAAAGGTACCAGAAGGGGAAGAGGAACAGCCACGAGTGGAAAACTTATTTGAACAAATAATAAAGGAGAATTTCCCCAATCTGGCAAAGGCAATAGACTTCCAGGAAGTCCAGGAAGCTCAGAGAGTCCCAAAGAAGTTGGACCCAAGAAGGAACACACCAAGGCACATCATCATTATATTAGCCAAGATTAAAATGAAGGAGAGAATTCTGGAAGCAGCAAGAGATAAGGGGACTATCACCTACAAAGGAGTTCCCATCAGACTGTCAGCTGATTTCTCAAAAGAGACCTTACAGGCAAGAAGGGGCTGGAAAGAAGTACTCCAAGTCATGAAATCCAAAGACCTACATCCAAGATTGCTCTATCCAGCAAAGCTTTCATTTAGAATGGAAGGGCAGATAAAGTGCTTCTCAGGTAAGAGAAGTTCAAATTCAAGGAGTTCATCATCACCAAGCCCTTATTATATGCAATGTTAAAGGGACTTACCTAAGAAAAAGAAGATAAAAAAGATGAACAGTGAAAGGACAGCAAACTCACAGTTATTAACAACCACACCTAAAACAAAAGCAAACTAAGAGGACAGCTAGATCAGGAGCGAACCATAGAAATGAAGATCACATGAAGGGTTAGCAACAGGGGAGTGGGAGGAGGAGAAGGTACAGAGACTAAGTAGCATAGACGGTAGGTAGAAAATAGATGGGGGGAGGGCAAGAATAGTAGGGGAAATATAGAATCTAAAGAACTTGTGACACATGGACATAAACGAAAGGGGGGGATGGTGGGGGAGGGGGTGTGCAGGGTGGAGAGGAATGAAGAGGGAATAGGACAACTGTAATTGCATAATCAATAAAATATATTTTTAAAAATTTAAAAAAATAAAATAGTAAAAAAAAGCACCTTCTCCGTATTCTGCACAAGTCTTTTTTTTGCATTTCAGTTGTGTTTTTATCTTTCTTGAAATAATAAAGCATAATATGCCAAAGAAAAAGAAATTAAATATTGACACATGTTACAATGTGGAAGAACCTTGAAAACACTGCTGTTAGATTGAATTTTGTAAGTGAATTAATTGTAAGTTAATTTTGTCAGAATTGTGGTAGCTGAGATAATACTACTATTCTTGTGCTTTGTAACAGTATTATTGTTTGGAACTTTAACCATTTAGAGTTAGATATAAGGAAACAAAAATGATTGGACATCATCTCATTTTCCCCCCTTAAATATCACTCAACAACCAGTTTCTCTTCCTTTTGTCAGTTGCCATTGTGAATTTTTCAAAAGAAGTACTATATCCAGGTGCCAGCCAATAAATTGTCACACAATGGAAAATGATATGCCACAACATTCACTGTAAATTTTAATAACATACAAAATTTTGTTAAAGAAACCATTGTTTAAAAAAACGTTTTCCTGATGCATTTGAAGATGGTCACAAGAGACCACATGTTGTGTGATTCCAACAAAATGTCCAGATGAAGCAAATCTGTAATGTCAGAAAGCACAGTGAGCAGCTGGGAGGTCGGGAGTGACGGCCTGGGGAGGGGGCTGCACAGCTCTGTGAACGTACTAAACACTAAACATCACTGCACTGTACACTGTAAACAGGTGAATTGTAGGACATGTACACTGTATCTCAATAAAAATGGCAATTTCACACTTCAAACAGGTATGTTATGGTAGGTAAACTGTATCTCCACAAAGTTGATCACAAAGAAAAAAGCGTCATCATTTCTAAAACCATTCTGTAAGCACAGTATACGTGTGATAAAAAACCCAATGTCCAGGCAGCCTGACGACAGCCACCCTCGTTGTGCTCTGATCTGTGCAGAGAGGTACATTACCCTTCCACGAATGCATCCAGCTTAGCCAGTTCGTCCGACAAACCAACCAAGACATCCAGTGTGCCGACCTGGAGGGGCAACAGCACTGTATTACTGAGGTTTCTTTTTACAAGATGATGCAACACTTAATTTGAAGGGCGCACCAAACTTAAGTTCTCCTTTTTTTATTTCATAATGTGCAAGTGTGGTTAAAACATGTTTGCCAGACATTTCAAAGCTATTTATATAAGCAAGACAATCCTCTAATGCATGGTTACAACCACCGTGTAAGACGCGATGAGTCTGCAATGGCCGGCCTGTGCCCCTGCTTGTGCTGCCCAGTGACGGCCCATCACTTGAAGCCGCAGTTTACAAAAGCAGCTCTTAGGCACGGGTGCATGACTGTGCATTAGAGGGCTTGTAACTGAATTTATATGCAAAACTATGTGGATAAATGAGCATGTTTTGGAAGTAATGTCCATGATCTGTATCAGTGTCTTAAAGGATTTCATAACTGCCAAAATACTGTTATAAAAACCAGTCAATTTAAGTATTTCTTAAGTAAACGAGTGCTATATAATATATAACTGCAAGATTTTTTAAATTTATTTCTCTTTAGAAGGGAAGAGAAGGAGAGAAACATCAATGTACAGTTGCTTCTCACATGGTCCCCTGCTGGGAACTGGCCTGTAACCCAAGCATGTGCCCTGACGGGGAATCAAACCATGATCCTCTGGTTCGCAGGCCCACACTCAATCCACTGAGCTACACCAGCCAGGGTTAACTGTATCACTTCTTAGTTACCCAGCAAAATACAAATGATCACGTTCTTTTCCATTCTTTACAAAAGTTCAGTCATATGATTACACTGGCAGCCTATTTCACTTTGAGACTGCTAGGTTACTGATACTTAATAAATGTTAAATTGATTAACTAGATTAAATAATTAGGTTAAATTTTCCAAGTATGGTTAAAGAGGTACAATGGTAAAACATTAGTGAGCATTATATGAATTTAATTACAGAAACATGGATTGATACTTCAAAATATATATTACTAAAAAAAAAGAATATATATATATAACTAAGATTTTTTTCCCTCCTCAAAGTCCTATTTGTAAATGTAATATATCACATCTTTTCATAAGATTTCCCATTACAATTTAAAGTATAATTTAGAAAAGCACAAATCTTTAGGAAAAAAAATGTTATTTTGCTTTGGTAGCTCACTTCTAAAATCTCAATTTCCTAAAAAGAAGATGGGTTTCTCCAGCCAATGGCTGGAAAAAGAACCTATTATATCATTTATACCAAAAGGTATAAATGTTGCCTAGTCAGAAACACGACTGCCCTTCAAACACTATTTTGCACAGTGCAGTTTTACCTTTAAGTCAGGAATGTTGAACTTTGAACTAACAGCAAGGTTATTGTTCTTGGTAGTCGCCGCGTGCAGCTTCTCCCATGTCTGTTGACAGGTTTTCTCCCCAGGAGCTGATATAAGCCAGAACTCAGTCATGTTTGTTACCCGGTATTTCTTCCAAAATCAAGAGGGACTCTGAAACACAAAATAAAACAGAAAATAAATTTAATATCACTTGTTTCTAAAGTATTTCAGAGTCACATTTCAAAACTAATTTAACACTGGCACATGATCCCAAGCAAAGTCAGATTTACTTACCTGGAAGTAAATCCATATAAATGATAAAATGTGACTTATTTATGATCATATAAAATTGATGATAAAGACTTAATACATGAAGTATCTAATTTTTAGAAAAATTACAAAACATCCTAAAATGGGAATTAATTGAAGAAGATGGACTACCTAAAATACTAACCACTAATAGTTCCATGTCACAAAAATCAGAGTCACAAATTTACAAGTTTATCTTAAACTTTTAAAACACAAACCAAAATAAGAAATAAAAAACATGCACAACTTGAATCAATGCATTTGAATAGTAATCACCAAGTAAACTTGCCACATCTGGCCGAGCAAATCCTACAAGGTTAACCAAATTGGGGTTCATCTTAATCCACATTCAACCTAAGGATTCTCAAATCTCTGGTGTATACTTAGCTGCCATAAAACATTTATAAATTTGCAAAAAAGTATAATAAAAATCTTCCCAGTCACCTTGTATTATTTTGAAACTATGACCTTGGGGCGGAGAAACAGCACTACTGGATCTGAGAGAAGAGAGGCTGTGGGTCTCCTCTCCCAAGGCTTCCAGATCCATTAAGACACAACCAGCCTTCTACAGTCTTTCTCCCTCCCACTCTCCTTCTCCCTCTCCCCACGACGCCCACACATGCGCACGTAAAAAATAAGTCCAGAGCCAACTGTACTCAGAGTCTAAGTACACAAACCAAAAAGAACTCATAAAAATGAAAATATCATTATTTCCACTTTAATATGCCTTCATCAGAACCACTGTTAGCTTTCTACTGCCACTGCTTATTTAGCCTGTCCTGAAACTTGAAGTCTTAGATAGAAGATAAAACTACCTTACAAAGTTGTCTTGATAACAAAATTAGTGAAATTTATAAAGAACTTGATAAACTTAAATCTCCTTTAAAATGAAATTATAGCCCTGGTTGGTGTGGTTCAGTGGATTGAGTGCCGGCCTGTGAACCTAAAGGTCGCCAGTTCGATTCCTGGTCAGGGCACATGCCTGGGTTACAGGCCAGGTCCCCATCAGCAGCATGCAAGAGGGATGCCTTCTCTCCCACACTGATGTGTCTCTCCCTCTCTTTCTCCCTCCCTTCCCCTCTCTCTAAAACCAAATAAAAAAAATCTAAAAGTGTATATAAAATGTAAATTATAGTTAATCATAATTTACTTTCGTAATTTCAGAAGCCCACTGCAATTAAAGTAATCCTACCTAGTCATTACACAATTGAAAGTGAACTTAACATAGATGCCATTCTATTTGCTTGTGTGTCTTTTTGAACTTCAGTTTACAGAGCATCTACCAGGAACTGCTCTAAATGTTCTGTGATTATCCCAGGCATCCCAGCATATGTACCATCCTCCCCACTTACAGATAACATACTCAGAAAAGTTAAACTGGTATAAATCTCAAGAACTGTACTCTAAGATGATTTTCTGCACAATACTGATAAACCTGCACAAAGAGCTATAATCAGACGGCCAGCAACTAAACAGACTTGTTAGTGATGACCAGACCAGACAAAGCACTAGGTCTGGCCAGAAACACAGCAAACTTAACTAACTGGCTGGCTGAGAATGGAAGCCACTCAAAACACCTAGTTCTAAGGAAGACATCCAAAAATAAGCTTGGATTTAAAACAAAAGCAAAAACAAAACCCTCATTAGCCTACATGAGAAACTTCAAATGTTAAACCAGTTATTATATATATATATATATATATATATATATATATATATATATATTCCTACCCATAATCTTCTCCAACCTGTTTTTCACTCAACCTATTTTTAGAATTATCTATGGTAATACCTATCAACTGAATTCACTCATTTTAAATGCTAAATGGTATTCTATAAGCAAACTAAAATTTATTATCCATTTTCCTCTGGAAGAATAGCTATAATTTACTTTTTTGCTTTATAAACAAGTCTGCAGTGAACAACTTTGTACTTCACGTGTTTCTGTGAGTTTCTCCAGGACACACAGGAAAAGTACAAAAGTACAATAATGTGGTGGAGTTATCTCAAAGGTGAAGGCAACAGGTCTTTCCATGCTCTGCGCAGTGTGGCTGCCACTCCTACCGTCAAAAGGTGGAGTCTATTTCTCCTACCCTTGAATTTGGGATAGCCCATAACTTGCTGTGACCAACAAAACACCACACTATTATAAGTTCAGGGCCCAGGCCTCAAGAGACCTTGGAACTTCAACTTATGTTTATTGGATGGCTGCCCTCAGACCACCATGGAAGGATGCCAGTCTAGCCTAAGATAAGAGGCCACATGGCACAGAAACACTAACACTGTAGCTGACAACCAGCATAAACAGGCAAACGTGAGGAAGGCTATCTTGAAGTTTCCAGATCAGCCAACATCCCAACTGAATGCGGTCCCATCAATTAGCACATGTGAAACAAGCAGAACCACCAAGACAACCCACAGAAGCAGGAAAAATTAGAAATCACTGTGTAAGTCACTAAATTTCAGGGTGGTCTGCTATTTATGATGAGATTAGACTAGAAAAAGGCCAACCATTGTTAATATAATGAGAACAGTTTGCACAACATTGATGTAACCTGGCAGCCAAGGAGAGTGAACTGGAATGCACATGTGTGAACGATGACTTCACTGTACTAGTTACTGGGGGCAGTAGGTGCCATTGAGTGACCGTGTATACTGCGAGGCTGTCACATTCAAAATGACTGAGTAGAGCAACGAAACTGTGTTCAGCGTGAACGTTCTACCACAGAAACTATTCACGTGATTCAGAAGGCAGCAGCCGTAGAAAACTGGTGGTTGGCAGCTTCATCAGACAACGCACTCGCTCTTGCACCACATCTTGTGCACAATTTTTGGGTAAAATGTCAAATCACCCAGATGACTCAGCCCCTTTATCACCCGGATCTGGTGCCCTGCAACTTCTGGCTTTCCCCAAAACTAAAATCACCTTTGAAAGGGAAGAGATTCAGAACGTCAATGAGATTTGGGAAAACACAATGGAGCAGCTGATGGCCAATGGGAGGACTGGGAGAGGCCCCAAGGTGCCTACTTTGAAGGGGACTGAGAAGTCATTCTCCTACGTACGATGCTCCCTGTGTCCTGTATCTTCAACAAATGTCTCTATTCTTCATAGCACGTGGCTGGATACTTTCCGGATAGACCTTGCAGATGAGATCACTGAGAAGACCACGTCAACTCTTTTGGGTACTGCCAAACTGTTCTCAAAAGCAGTTATCAGAGTTAAGTTCCCACATGAAGGTATACATTGTTCAGAACTACATGCTTCCAGAAAGTTCAAAACCATAGGTAGGAGAAAGGTGCTTCTTTAGCTTCCATTTCTTTAGTAACTTACCTGGGGCAAATATGACAAAATGTTAATCCTGTTAAATATATGTAGTGGGTATGTGAAAGTCTGTTAATCTGAAGAATTTGAACTTTTTTATATACCGAAAATATTTCAAAATTAAATATTTTAAACCTTGTTATAAGAATGTAATTAATTTATGATAAATAGAACAATGCCTAGCAAATTTATAAAAAACACAACTTTAGTGAAATTTCAAATGGACTAGCCAAATAATAGTCTAGCTACCAAATTAATCCTCCAAGCATAATTTTTGTTTTAACCCTTGTGGATATACTTTCTAATCTTATGACCAAGAGTAACATACTGAACACCAACCATTTGATGTTTCAGGATTTTTCCTAAGAAGTATTTTCAGGTCATTATATTTAACAATTCTAATTGTGTAGTGTTGGAAAAGACACAGCTTGGGCTACATATGTACTAATACCAGAATTTATCTAAGCTGCTTTTTACATTAAATTCCTAATGAAATGGTATGGACCTACATCTGCTTTATCATCCTGATCCTGTTCCTGTTCTCCACCGCACCACTGCACCTGGGTCACCTCGCCAAGCTGCTCCAGCACTTGCTACCTTTTCACTCTCCACCTTTTCACTTTCCTTTGGCCACTTGGCCTTGGCCATCTCCTTATCTCTGGTCTCCGGATCTAATATTGTACTTAACAAATCTGGCTTTTTTTTTTGGCCAAAACACCAACCATAGAACTACCTTGAAATTTGAAATTCTGAGTTGAATCCAATACACTAAATCTTTAAACATCTTTTAATAAACCAGATCTTCTAAGCGATAGTAGTTCTGGAAATTCAAGGTTTTATTTTTAATTATTTATACAAGTGGTCCTGTAACATCATGCAGAGTGGATGGTACCCAAAAAATAACAAAGCGTATTCCCCATAACCCCTAGTTGAGGGATGGGAGAAGGAAGACACTTTTCATAATAATGGCAAGTTGATAGCTGCACTAGCACCCTGGGCAAAAGGCACATGTGACTTTCAGAATGTGTAATGGCTCATGAGGTGGTTTGGGGGTGGACTGCAGAGGACAGCTTATACAGCAGGGAGATAGAGGCTCCTGTGTCATGGGGTACTCGTGCCCTGACTAAAGATGGCAGCCAAAAGAAGGTTAAAAATATGGGAGAACTGGCAAAAGTAGCACATTGTAGGAGAGGCCAGATACGAGGACACATAGGAAGCTCTGGGTCAGCATTTAAAATCAGGGTGGGCTAACAGAGAAGAAGCTGGTCCACCACCAGGGCTGAGAGAGTAGGTACCAGCCATGGGGGGGGGGGGATGCATGAGGAAGGAGCCATGATGTAGGGGAATTTGGCCATAAGCACCGAGAGAGGAAGCAAGTGGCTATGCAGTCTGTAGTCAGGATTTTGCCATGCAGCCTGGGGTAGTAAGGAAGGCAGCCATGCAGGCTGAGAAAAGGGTGTAAGGAAAGAGCTGATGGAGCTGTGAAAGAATCCAGAAAAGCTTACAGGGCTCTGTGGGAGCCCGTTAACCAAGCATGGAT